GAAGGGTCGATGCCCCTGCGCCGGGAGCCCGTTGTGGGTTGGCGCTTGGCGGTTGCGGTTGCACGCGAAGTGAGAGGGGGTCATTGGTGACGGGGCGGGGCGGGTTGGGTTGGGGGGGTGGGGGGGAGAAGGGTGGGGAAAGCTCACAGCGGCGGATGGTGATGGACGGTACATATCGGACGGGACATGGGGGCAGGGTGGAGCGGGAGGCATGGGGGCGGGTTTTTCGGAGAGGGCGACGGGGGGCGACGCGGGGGGCAGGAGGTTGACGGCAAAGGGGCGAGTGGAACGGCCTTGCGAAACGAGGGCGGCTTGTCCCCCCCACCCGTCCGCGCGCTCGCGCCGCTCACCGCGTGCCCCAGGCGGTCCAACGGGGTGGCGGGCGGCGCCCCCCCGCCGCGTTGGGCGGGCGGCGGCCATGCCGGGCTGAGGCCGCCTTGTGGCCGCTGGGACGGCAGAGGAGATGTATCCTTTCCCTCACCTGATTCCTTCTTGCCTCTCTTCCCCCCATTCTCCGGACCCCGCCCCCTTCCTCTCACTTCTCACCCTCGTCTTCGTCATCATATTGCATTTCGTCCTCGGCCACTCTCTCCAATTTCCTCATCATCTCCATCGTCGTCGTCGTTATGGTGATCCTCAACCTCCTCTTTCATGGAGCTCTCCCAGGCCCTGAACCACCATTCTAGCGAGCGCTGGCCGTAGCGTAATGGAACACCTGCGCAGGGGAACTTGGGATGGGATGTCTTGAATAATGCGTGATGCGTGTGGGCTCGTCCTCCCTTTCGGCTTCGTTCCTCTCCTCGCTCTCGTCGTCATGTCCCTCGTCCTTTTCCCTACTCGTTCTCCCCATCCTCCTTGGTCTCCTCGGTGCCCCTCAGGGCGCTCGTGGAGCGCGTGTTCCACACCGTGCGGTCGGCGGCACGACTTTCTGTGTATCCCATGTGCCCTCCTGCTGATCTTGCTGATACCGGTGTTCGTCTTCCTCCTCATTCCTCTTCTTCCATCGTCCATCTTCCTCCCTCCCCCGAACTCCCTCATTCTTCTTCTCTCCGCTCTCCTGGAGCTCGCACCGCAACCTATTAACGTTTGCCGCGAGCGACCTGTTGGCTGGAGCTTTCAAAGAAGCGGTTGACGAACGACGGGGAGGGCGATGTTCAGTTTGCCAGGCTCCATGCGACGCCGGGAGGTGGGTGGGCTGCGCCTCCTTCGCCTTGCGCGCAGCTCGGATCAAGTAGGTAAGTTGTTCTTGTTGTTCAAAAGATGGTCGGGGGAGTCATGGTCCCGAGTTTGTCGCCAGTCGGGTGGGGGAGGGGTTGTATATTAGTGGGTGTTCATAAGCACACCACGAACGGGAATACTAGGGTTTAGAAGAGGATGCGCCCTAGACCATCTACGCCCTAGAGGGTTGGTGGGAGTCATGCGGCATATTATATAAGACATTTCCTCGCAAGCCCTTTGGATCCCCCCCAAAATGTATCGGACGTCCCGTGGGACCAGCGGATTACTTCATAAGCCTTGAGGTTTTCTCTTCTAGCAATCCAAGAATCATTCGGCCGAGTCGCGCGAGATATTGTAGGATTTTTGTTCAGAAGCCAGAGGAGTTCCGAAGCAGCCAATCGGATTTAAGGATCTCCCATTTGGGACCCTCTAGGCTTCCTGTGGGACCCTGTAGGACGTAATCGTGCGGACTTCTCAGCGGACTCCGCCCTCCGCTCCTTCGAGGCGCCACCCACTCGCGGAACGAGACCTCCGCCGATGCGACTCAGCCTTCCCGTGCAGGGCTCCCGCCCGCGTGCGCGCACGACCAGGTCGTGCAGCGAGGCGCCGTCGCAGCTGCGCCACCCCCACTCGTGGAGCGGGACCCCTGCCGAGGCGACGCAGCTGCGCCACCACCGCGCGAGGCCCCCGCCCCAGCAGTGCTCTTGCGCAACGAGGTGCCGCCCCCCCCAGCGGAGCCGATGCGCAATCTCGAGTTGCGACGCGCGTCGCCGCTCGAGTCGCGGAGCAAGATCCCCACAAACCAATCGTGGAACGAAACGTTCTGCCGTGCGACGTATGACGGTGCCCCCTGTGGAAAATGGGGCAACGGATGGCCTGAGGCGATGAGAAAGCCGCCCCTCCCTCGCAGGCGACGCAAGCGTTTCGTGGATTGGCGCGCTGGCGCTTGTGATGGCCTCTCACCCAGCAGCGGCGAGCCAGCTGAGCTGCCTAGGTCTTGCCTAGCCTTGCCCTCTGTTCGTTCTCATCGTCGTCGCCATATCCTCCATTATCGCGCTCATTCCCCTTCCTCCAGCTCCTCCATCCCCTATCGCCTCTCCTCTTTCTCCGTGTGTGTCAGTTTCCTCCCTTGTCCCTCAATTCCTCTAGTTTTATTTATGTTGTTGCCCTCCTGCTCCTCCATGGTATTTTCTTCCCGCTCCTTGTTCCCCCTGCCACAGGAGCTTTTCCCGAACGTGATCGATCCTCCCCAGACTCCCACCACAGAGGAGGCCACTTCTCGCCAGGCGAACGCGACTTTCCGACGGCGCTTTTTGTGTTGTCCCATGGTGGGTAGGAACGTCATGGTGAGGGGTGAGGGGAGGAGGAGCAGGAGTGCTGGGGGAAGCGGAGTAGGAGGATGCAGTGTGAGGGTTCCCGAAAGGAGAAGTCCGTGGAAGCAGGGAAGGGTCAGGCCATCGCGCCGACAATTGCCGAGCCGAAGGCCCATATGTTCGGCAGCACTTGCGACCCAGACACTACTGGTCTCACAACCGACGGTCGTAGACGAGTGGGCAGCCTCCTTCCCAGGGGGTATACAACGTATTGGACATGTCAGAATCTGGCCCAGTGATTACCACAGGCGGCTAAATGACACTTTGAAGAGGGGATTTAAGGTAAACAAGCAATGCAATAATTCAAACACCATAAGTACATGCAGCTAAACTTTAGCGACATGTGGATACTCTAGGGGGCGCTCAGTGCAGCAGGGGCCCACCATACAATGGCTGTTACGGTTCCATACCAACATATCATATTTACGGGGTCTGTGCGATGAGATTGCGCACTCTTGCGCGCAGCATTCGACGGAACATCGCCCTAGGACGCAGACCATGAGTGACAACACTACGAGCACCCCATCATTAATTTTCAGATTTATCCGACGTCGACTTACCACCAGTGACATCCAACGCGGATGCACAACAGCACCGATACACGCCACAGTTTGGGCCAGTGTTTTACATTTCACATCAGATGAACGACAACCCGACGACCCGCGTATAGAACACAAGAATTGGAACCGAGCAGGCACCCCGCACTCTCCAAATAATGTAATCGTTAAAGCTGATGCCTACAGATGACCCCCTCATTCGCATGGTAGCCCCAGACCGACGACCGGCTGCAAGCACAAACAACATATGCGCAGAGTTGGTGGTACATCTTGGCTGCCATCTGCACCATCCCGAAAGATCGTGCATAAGATCTGGCGTGACGACGATGACCAACACGCACGCAATTTGTCAGTGGTGCAGGAAACGAGGATCTTAGGTTGTGCGATTATTGGATACGCACGAGTTGCGACAGCGACGTGTTTGCGTGGTCGTGCGATTGGCCGAAATTGCATGGTTCGCTGAAGAGTATCGAACAACTGGGAAGCGGTTCAACTGGGAAGCGGTTCTCGTGGAAACACAGGTTGAAACAAACATTGTGCATCCACCAGCGACGAAAGCTCTACGGGGAGACGTGGAAGGAGGAGCGGCACGTTAGGCTGATCGAGTGATTCAGTAGATTGTTGAGGGCACTTGTGGGAGATGAGAAAATTGCCGGAGGAGGTCCAGGGCCCAAAGTTGCAGGCTTGGGGCTGACATTCTCCGCGCGAAAGCGCCTTGCAGCCGTGGAATCAGACAAGCACAGGAACGGAACAAATCAGACATGCGCAGATTTGAGAGAGTTCCAGATCAAAGTAGAACGTTGTGCTGTGGAGCGTTGCGCGTGCATTCTTAGAAGTAGCCTAGAGGGACGTCCGGAGCAAGAGGAAGTTCAATAAAATCGTTGGCGCTCAATTCGATTGTTGAGGGCGGTTGGGAAAACCAGGCTTGTGCAGGCATTGGTAACGGAGGCGTGGTTGCAAGGGGGGCGCAATAGGTTGGAGTTTCAGGCGTGGACGCGTCGAGGGTGGGGGCCAAGGACATATGGGCAGGGCCACCGCTGTCCATGATGTCCTTGCTCCCTATCCTCGAAGCGTGACAACGAACTGGTCGCCGCCGCAGACCGATTTCAGAGCCTCTCGGAACGGTAATTCGGGGCGTTGCCAATTTCGCGGGCCATTTTGTTTATCAAAGATCGTCGGCAAGTTCCAGCGATGTTTTTGTGTCCTAATGTTCCAGGAGCGGCGGATGTTTCAGATATTTTTCGAGAGAGTTCGAACATTTGGGACGCCGATCTTTGGCGCGCCTCGGTTTTCCGATCTGGGCGGTCTGAAAATCGGTTTCAGGTGGTCGCAGACATCCAGCCGTCGTATGTTCAGCCAGAGCGAGCGCTTGGCTTGCGCCGCGCCAGACGCCTTCGGAGTTTCGAGAATTGTTTTGAAGTTCCTGGGGCGGGCGGACCCCTGGGCCATTCACGAGGGTGCCGACACCCCCGGGCTGGCCCCAATTGGCACGCCCATGCGCACAAGGCGCCGCAAGTCGCCAAATATGTGACGGGGCTTCACCTATCACCTCCAGCTTCGTGAAGCCGATGCCGCCCGAGGCGTGGCACACCTTCTCGGCAGTGCCACCCTGTGATTTGAACAGTCGAGCTCCTTATTCATCCCGGTTGAAATTGGTTGCGAGGCGCATTTTTTGCCCGCGACGACAACAGACTCGTCGCGGTCGAAGTGACGGCGGGATGCACGGACGGAAAGGGATGAGAAGCGGCCGTAGAGGGACGAGCAAGGAGGGAGGCCTGTTCGTGAGACGCACGCGCGTGATGGGAATGCCGTCGCGCGGAAGCAACAGAAACGCTCAAAGAAGCCAAGAACGATGATGGAGAGGCAGACTTCGGGGCCAATGCAGAAGTCGCCGTCGAAGTCCGTTGGTAGGAAGGACTCGCATCATCGGGGCCATGCCGCGCTGCTTGCCTCTTGGGAGGGGAGGGGCAGTTCTGGAGAGCCAGGAACAGGAACAACATTTGGAGGAGCCCGAGTAGGAGCAGGAGCGGTAGCAGGATCAGCGTAATTAGCAGTTGAAGCAGGACCAGGGATGGAATAGCGCGGTGGGAGCGGGCGAGGGAGAAGGAGGTGGAGGAGGACAATTAGCAGCAGATGCGAGAGCATGGGTAAATACGAGCGAGAGGATTGGCACCCCTTTGCATTGGGGCGTGTCTGCGCGCTCTCGGGTGCGACAAGTGTCTATGGCATTGTTGGGCGGGCTCTGTGGGAACGAGGGCCTCCAGAAGACGCCGTCCAGCCAGACGCCGTCCAGCCAGACGCCGTCCAGCTAGCTCACGACCCTAACAATCCCGTGTTCCGGGGCGGGCAGGCGGGGGCCGACTTTCGTTGACTGTTCAGCACGGCTCGGCCACCACCCAGACCAGGGTGTCTGGCGGTTGTTTGCACCCCGCCTTCGCCAGGTGGGACAACCAGGCCAGTGCACAGCAACACCGCACAAGACGGCACGGCGCGGCACTACACCTCCCCCAAAAAGACCAAACCCTTCCCAGTGCGACGTAACGTCTCCAGTCGAAGAAGGGCACGGCACGGCACACGACGACACCGCACCACGGCATGGCACCGCAGGGCGGCACAGAATTGCACATTGACCCCGCGTGAACGAGCGTGGCCGTGAGCCGTCGCCCTCCAGGAAGGCACAGTAGGCTTAGTGTACAGTCAACACCGCCGCCGTTACTACCAATCCGCCTGCCGCTAGTTACTCGAAGAGTTTGGTTCGAGAGGCTTTGCCGGCGCAGCAGCGGGCGCTCTCCCACAAGGGCGCGAGCGGATTCGTCGCACCACGGCGCGAAAGTTGGCCGGACCAATTGGCTATGGTGCCGCCGCGGTCTGCGCGCGCACGCGCGCGGCCCCCGCAGGACGAGTACACGTGCGAGGAGGCCGCCCCGAGCAAGGGATCGGTGAGTTTCAGTCGGGCACAGGAGCATGACCATGGTTTGAGGGTGTCCTAGGGAGAGGGGTTCAGCTCCCAGGTGGGGCTAGGCAGCGGACCCAGCTTGACGCTGATATTTACCTACTCCTGGGGCTGTGCAGAGCGGTTTTCCTTTGGTCTTTCGTCCAACCTCTGGCCTTACCGTGCCGACCCCCATTTTTGCGTTTGCTGAGCAGTCCTGTGCGTTGACTGAACGGTCCCGCCCTGTGCGACTTCTTCTTGTTGCGCGTCTGCAAGAGGGGCTCATTTGTGGAAGGCGCCCCTGGTGTGGGTGGTTCATTCGCCCTCTACCGCCCCCCCCTTTTTGCCAGGTCGACAGCCTCAGCGAGCAGTTCGAGCAGATCGCCAGGAGCCAGACGCCCTCTCTCAGCACCTCCCCCCTGACCGCACGCACGGGCCGTCGCACGAGCATGCCCGGGTTGTCGATCGGGCAGGTTGGCGGGCGGCTTCCAGATTGAATCTGCATTGGTCAAGACCTCCAAGCCCCAGGCCCCATGCCCATCGCGAGGCTTCGTACGTACCCACTTCCATAATATCAACCTCTTCCTCTGTCCCTTCCTCCCTGCCCCTATTAATACCAGCTTTCTCCTCACCCCTCCGTCCCCTCCTTCCGTTCCCCAACCACCACTTCTCGTAGCATCAACCGATGAGAGAATTCTGCTTTGCGCGCCCGATCTGGTCCTGTTTCATTTATCGATTCTCCCCGTTCCTCGATATTGCGAAGGCCTTACGGCCGGTGCCGCCGACCCTGAATGGCGACGACCACGACGACGACGACGACGACGAGCGCTCTTGGGGGCCTCTTGGGGGTAGTTTGTGGGCCTCTTGGGAAGCTCTTAGGGGCCGCTTGGAAGCCTCGTGGGGGCCTCTCTTGGGGCTTCCTGGGGGTCTCTTGGAGGGGGCCTGGGACGTCTTGGAGGCTTCTTGGACGGTCTTGGGGCTATCTTGGGCGTTTTCGGCCGATCTTTGGGCGACTCGGGGCCCTCTTGGGCCGTCTCGGGGGCCATCTTGGGCATTCGGACCTCATTTGGAGTGTTTTCGAGGTTTCTAGGCCGCCCGAGGAAAAACGAATCTGCCCCCCCACCCCCCCCCCCCCCCCCCCCCCCCCCCCCGGGACCCCCCCCGGGACCCCCCCCCCCCTGGGGAAGGGATCAAAGGGAAGGGGCTTCCCTTCGACTCGATTACGACACTGCTAGATTTTTCTCTCGCTCACGAGCCCTGCAGGGAAAGGGGACGACGGAGGCGACGACCGACGGAGACGACGACTGGCCCCCCCCGGCCCCCCCGGGACCCCCCCCCCTGGGGAAGGGATCAAAGGGAAGGGGCTTCCCTTCGAGTCGATTACGACACTGCTAGATTTTTCTCTCGCTCACGAGCTTGAGGAGGAAGCTGCAGGGAAAGGGGACGACGGAGGCGACGACCGACGGAGACGACGACTCGAACAGCCAAGCCCCTCGCACACGCCGACAGGGTCGGTGGATTTCTTCTTCAATCCTTCACACCGGCTCAGTGTCCTCTTCTTCCGATCGCCGAACGCCAGGCGCCAGTATCATCTTCTTTGTCCTCCTCCTCTTCCTCCGCTTACTCCTCTTCCTCCTCCTCTTCCTCCTCCCCCGGTCCTCCTCAGCCTCTCCCTCGTATTGATTCTTCAAATCATTCCCCCCAGGTGAGATGAGTGAGATGCAGGGTGAACCACTCGTCTCCCTCCCGTCCTCCATCAGCTCCTCCGTCATCCTCTCGCCTTCCTGCCAGATAGGACTGTGCTTCCAGCGGCAGGAGATTGATTTTTTATTGGTTGAGACGCAACTTCCGTTACGGCCCCCCCCCCCCGTAACGGTACCGAACGTTTTGGGAGGGGATCCCAGCACCTCCATAATTATGTGCCGTGTTCATGGGTACGGTGTGGTGCTGACAGGCACCAGAGAGCTTTCGGATGCCTCCAGAGTCGGCCGTCGCCGTCATCGACGTCGTCGCCGTCGCCGTCATCGACGTCGTCGTCGTGGTGGTCGTCGTCGTCGTCGTCATCGTCCCCATTCTCGACTTCGTCGACGTCGTTATCGTCGTCGTCGTTGTCCTCGTCGTCGTCGTCGTCTTCGCGTCCGAGGGCCTCGAAGGGCCTGCAGACGCTTCCAGAGGCCGAGATTTTCTGAGGCTTCCAGAGGGCTCTGAAGACCTGCAGAGGCGGCCGTGGTCATCGTCGTCTTCGTCCTTGTCGTCATCCTCGCCCTCGTCCTCGTCCTCAGTTGCGAGGAACTCGAAGGGCCTCCAGACGACGCCTCCAGAGGCATCCATAAACCTCTTGAAGCCTCTGGAGACCTTCAGAGGCGCCGTCGTCGTCGTCGGCATCGGCATCGGCGTCTTCGTCGTCACCGTCGACTTCGTCGTCGTCTTCGTCGTCGTTGGTCATATTCCTCGTCGTCGTTGTCGATGTCCTTGCTATCGTCGGCGTCGTCGTTGTCGTCGCCGTGGTCCCCGCCCCCGTCCTCTTCGTCGTTCTCGTCTTCGTCCTCGTCGACGTCGTCGTCGTTACCGTCGTCCTCGTCGTCGTCGTCGATGTCCTTGCTCTCGTTTTCGCCCTTGTCCTCGTCGTCGTCCTCGTCGTCGTCGTCGTCGTCGTCCTCATCCCCGTTCCCGTCCTCGTCCTCGTCGTCGTCGTCGTTGTTGTCGCCGTCGTTGTTGTCGTCGGCGTCGTCGGCGTCTTTGTCGTCGTCGTGGTCGTCGTCGTCGTCGTCGTCGTCGTCGTCATCATCGTCCTCGTTCCCGTCCCCGTCCTCGTCGTTGGCATCGTCCTCGGCCTCGTCCACCATGTCCTCGTCGTCGTCCTCGTAGTCAATGTCGTCTTCAAATGCCTCGAAGGGCCTGCAGACGCCCGAGAGGTCTTTGGAGACCTCTGGAGACCATCAGAGGCGGCCGTCGTCGTCGTCGTCTTCGCCCTCGTCCACGTCCACGTCGTGGTCGTCGTCCTCCTCGTCCTCGTCGTCGTCCCCGTCATCGTCCTCGTCGTATGTATCGTCGTCGTCCTCCTCGTCGTCGTAGTCGTCGTCGTCTCCCCCGCCGTCGTCGTCGTCGTTGTCGTCGGAGTGGGTCGAGGGGCCCACGCTCCGACAAAATCCGATAATCGCTGTCTGTGCAGGTCGGCCAGCCCTTCCTCGTGTATTCCCCACCCTCGTCCTCGCCGCCGGTTCCCCCCCGCCCAAGGCGCCAGATGCTCTCTCAAGGCCAGGTGAAGCTCAGGCGCGCCCGCAGCCCGCGGCTGCCGCCGCTCAGCTCCTCCAGGGCCCCGCCGGGCGACCGCGCGCGCGCGGGGGAGCGGCTCTCCCCCCCTGCTTCGCCCGCCCTCCTCCGCCTGCCCTCCTCCCCCCCTGCTCCCTCTGGCATCTGCCTTGTCCCCCCTCTCCGCCTGCTCTCCTCTTCCTCCTCCCCCTCCCCCCCTTAGTCCTTGTCCTTCCTTCCTCGTTCCCCTCCTTCTCTCCTCGTCCATCTCCTCCTCCCCTCGTCGTCATCCTCCTGCCCTCCTTTTCGTCGTCCCCCTCCTTCCCTGCCCTCGTCGTCTTTCTCCTCCTCCTACTACTCCTTATCATGCCATCGTCCTCGTCCTCGTCCTCCGCCTACCCTCATCGCTCGCTTGCTCGCTGCCTGCAGACGTCTGACATGGCCACCGATCTTAAGCAGCGAGGAAACAAGGGAAAGTGGACGGTGGGAAAGCAAAACAATAGTGAAGGAAGAAGGAGGAGGTCCAGGGCTAACCATCCTCCCTGGAGACGTCCCCCACACAGCCTACCCATGGCGCTGGAAAAGGGCACAGCAGAGCCCAGAAGGTCTCAAGATCTCTGGGGGGGGGGTCGAAGGCGGGCGAGCCCGAAAGCAAGGGGGATCGCGAGCGGATTTCGAAAGCGAGGATGGCAACGATGTCAGTAAGAACGGTTTGCTGGTTGCTCCAGGCAAGCACTTCCCTTGCCTTTTTTTGGCTGGCCGATGAGGCCAAACCCCACCAAGTCTTGACGTGCAAAAGCCCTGGTCTGTTCCATGTTGGCAATCTTATGACACACATGCAGGGAAACCCAGAAATGATATGGCAAGACGTAGAGACTCGGAGATCAGCCTGAAGAAACCTCCGACCCAACTATTAGTACGATCCACTTTCAGACGCTCCAAGGGAGAGATGGGAAGCTTTGTCAAGGGAGAGGAGACCGTTCGAAGCGGACGCAGGCGCGAGCCATTCAGTTCGGGTCACACAGAGCATGTCCGCCATACGATTGGGTTGAACTTGTCTGAGTCACCTCTCAAGGCGCCCTTTCTGCTTCTCCTGCTCCAAGTCTCCCGAGAACACAACACGATTCATGCCAGCCCACTTTTTAGGAAAGAACAATTTGACCAACGGGCATGATCGATCCAGTCAGTCATACAGCCTTCATGGGGCAGCTCCTTTTTGCGAGCGTCCTATTATTCCTCCGTCTCCTCCTCCTCCTCCTCCATGGCCAGCAGTGAGAGGCTCGCATCACTGATTGCCAGGGGAATTGTCAGCCCTGCAGTTTTGTCCGCCACGAGAGTGGCGACGGTGTACGCATCACCGTTTTTGCCCACATCTGTCGTCCAAGTGTTGAGTCCGACTCGCCGTGCACGTAGAAGGAGCGGAGCGGGAGGTGGGAGTGCCGCCGTCCCGAGCCAGCCTGTGCCTGCCGCCCCTGTACCAAATGTTTTAAGGCGTGCCTCGGATAGTGCATCCCGACCCCCTGCGATGGAGTTTATCCCCTCGAGGGGGGTCAGGGCGGAGTGGGCCAGCAACAGTAGTACCCACGGGGAACGGCTCGCGGATGGGACGGGCGGGACGTTGGAGGGTGGGTCGGGTGTGACGGATCCGCGAGCTGGTCCCCGTGCGGGGGGCACCCGCCTGGCTGCGCGCCAATCGGCGGGCCGCTCCCTGGGGCCGTGCGGGCGGCGCCCGACAGGCCATGGTGGCCACAACAATGGACCAGTCCTCCTTCGATTGTCGCGAAGCGACGCCCAGGTGCGAGACAGCTGCGTGACCTCCGTCCTGCCGCGCCCAAGGGTTCCGAGCCGAGCCTCCTCCTCCTCCTCCTCCTCCTCCTCCTCCTCCTCCTCCTCCTCCTCCTCCTCCTCCTCCTACCTCGAGGCCCATTCAAGTTTGTGACCTCAGGCCTTGAATACATACCCCCTCCCAGGACATTTCCCTGCCATTCTCCAAAAGCTCATGGAGTTCGACTGGTACGCCCAGCTCGCCAAGAAGGCGGCCGCGAAGCTCGGCCACCAGAATGCTTATTTAGATGTTGCTGCTGATCGTAGTCGTCTCGCTTCTGACCTCCCTGGACAGCAGAAAGGTACGCTCCTCGCATTCCTAACCCAGAGTATCTGGACCATGGAGAGAGCCACAGAAGCAGGATATGTTGTCCCCACCGGCTGCGAGCGCGGCCACCATTCAGATGATCTCGGTCACAGGATATGGCCTTGCCCTAAGACAGAACAATTACCAGCCACTCACTTATCGGATGCGGAGCTTCAGAGTTTTCGAGAGCCCCCTCCCAAGGCCCCTCCCCTGCACCTCGGGTTCCAGCTGGTCCCTGCGTTCGAGGGGGGCCCGCCCTCTGGCACGGGTCTCGATTTTCGGTGAGTTTTGGTGTGCTCAGGCTGATCGCGGCCCCCAGGAAGCTTTCAGCGAGGGGGAAGTCTACATAGATGGCAGTTGCACCAGCCACGGTCACTATGTGCTCAATGCCGCGGGGGTTGCGCGCCAGCCACGGTCACTATGTGCTCAACGCCGCGGGGTTTGCTGTAGCGCGCATGCGTGCTGGAGGAGTGTTCGCCCACTTCAGCGGCCGAGTCGGCCAGATGTTTTCCCGAACCTCCTTGGGGCCTCGGAACATTTAGCTGCCGTCGTTGCTAGCCTCATGCTTGCTGACATTGAAGTTGTATGCTCACATTCTGCAGGGGTAATCTTGCTGCGTGGCGGTGAGGACTACCCCTGTCGCAACTTGTGGGTTGGGTTTAAAGGGCCTTTGCTGGGCGAGGGCGTTTCCCCACCAGGACATCGAAGCCGCACCCGTAGGCAGTGGTGCTCGAGGGTTGCCACGAGGCAGCGATGCCGCCGACCGTCTGGCCAAGGCGGCTGCGCCCCGCGGCGTCCAGCCGAGCGACGAAGAGAACCGCAGTTTTTCAGACGACCAGAAGCTTCAGAAATATGTCACGCATGTGGCCCAGGCTCTGGGAGAGTGGCCCGCGATAGCCCCCAAACGTAGCAAGGCCCTGGCCGCCCCAGAGACGCGCCTCTCTCCTCCCACGGGTGCTGCCTCTGCCCTGACCTCATGGGGCCCTTCGGCCTCGCCATCGTCTTCGGTCGAGCCCCCCCCCTTTCCGCCTCCAGAGCCCCATGCTGCCCAGAGAGAACCTCGGAGGTATCACAATTGGGCGATCATGTTTGGTAAGTTGCGCTGCATACTGTGACGGGTACAGACCCGATCGTTCAGGCGGAAAACAGTTCTTGCGGCCACGCAGTGCCTCGGCCACTGTAAGCAGCTGCCAGACCTTGCGCATTATAATAAGGCCATAAGCTGTTCTATCATGAGCACGTTGATCACCCTATGAGTATCTTGGTTTGCAGTAGGTGTGGGCCCTACTCTAACGGGTTGGGTCGAGGGCTCATTGGAATGTGCGACACCCGAGTGAAACACCAGGGCGCGGCCACTCAGTTCGCCCGCTTGCAAGAGGGGCGGGATCCGAAGGACTCGAAGAGTTCTCCGATCGCTTTCTCGACCCCAGCGATCCCCCTGGCTAGACTGGCCCGCGAAGGGCAGGCCAACGTCAGGGGGCAGGTTTCAAGGGGCCAGCGAGGCAGCGTATAACGGCCCAGCGTGGTGCGCGTAATGCCCCAGCTGTCAAGGCAGGAGCACGACGCATTATATGCAGGGCCTTCTGTGTTATACGCAGGCCCTTCGGGGCAGGTTTCAAAGGAGGCAGATCGCCCTCCTTAGTCGGCCGTGCCTATCGCGGCGGATCAGTCGAACAACCCCAAGCTGTGTGCGTGTCCTCCTCCTACCTCGTTCTTCGAGCTGCAGATTGTTCTGTGCAGCCTCCTCCGCGCCCCGCCGGGCGATCGCGTGACCGAGCCCGGCCACGTGTAGCCGCCCCTTCCCCATCCTCCGCTGCCCAGGCTTTGGGCAGGGGCAACGACAAGGGGGGGGACTGGCGGGGGAGAGCATCGACCCCCAGTCGCCCATCCATCGCCGACCAGGGCTTGCGCCGTCTTTCGCGCCCAGGAACGCGGGGCGTCGCTGTCGAGGGCCTATCGCCGATCTGTCGGCGATGTGCCAGCGATTCCAGGTCAATGTTCCCCCCCCCCACTGGGCCACGCCCCCCGCCCAACCGTTTCGCCTCTTTCGGGAGCTACTTCGAGAGTGGCCCAGGTGACGTACCTGGCCCGGGTCGAGTCAGCGCTGACTCGGGTCAGCACGTCCCCGAAAGCAGGGGTTCGCCACAAAGACAAGTTGTTCACCCTTCCTTGGCCGCTGGGCCTCTGGGGGGTGATCACTGGTTCGGGCCCGTGGGTCGCCATTTGAACTCCGACCCCGAGGTCGTTTTGGAAGAATGGGGGCCTCAAACTGTTCTCCGAGTATGTTTTGCCTTCGGGCTTTGTGTTTTTGGGGAGACACGGGTGGGTGCTGGACGCGTCCGTCACTGGATTCACAAAGGTTCTTTTGTTTCGTTGTTTTACAGCGGCGTTCCCCAGGTATTGCGAAGGCCTTACGGCCGGTGCCGCCGACCCTGTTCGCAATGCGCAGCAAGAGGCACGGGCTGTGGGATGGTTTTGGGGAACGGGGAAAAGGACGAGAAGGTGGGGGAGGGAGGTGTCGTATCTGACCCGGGACTTCCCCGGGACTCCCCCGGGACCCCCCCCGGGACCCCCCCTCCCCTCCCCGTCGGGGAAGGGAAAGGGAAGGGGCTTCCGTTCGACTCAATTACGACTCCCCCCTCCCCTCCCCGTCGGGGAAGGGAAAGGGAAGGGGCTTAGGGGTTCGACTCAATTACGACGTTGCTCAAGGTCGGTACGGGGGGGGGCGTCGTATCTGACCCGGGACCCCCCCCGGGACCCCCCCTCCCCCCCCCGTCGGGGAAGGGAAAGGGAAGGGGCTTCCCTTCGACTCAATTACGACGTTGCTCAAGGTCGGTACGGGGGGGGGGCGTCGTATCTGACCCGGGACCCCCCCGGGGGGACCCGGGACTCCCCCGGGACCCCCCCCGGGACCCCCCCTCCCCTCCCCGTCGGGGAAGGGAAAGGGAAGGGGCTTCCCTTCGACTCAATTACGACGTTGCTCAAGGTCGGTACGGGGGGGGGGCGTCGTATCTGACCCGGGACCCCCCCCGGGACCCCCCCTCCCCCCCCCGTCGGGGAAGGGAAAGGGAAGGGGCTTCCCTTCGACTCAATTACGACGTTGCTCAAGGTCGGTACGGGGGGGGGGCGTCGTATCTGACCCGGGACTCCCCCGGGACCCCCCCCGGGACCCCCCCTCCCCCCCCCGTCGGGGAAGGGAAAGGGAAGGGGCTTCCCTTCGAATCAATTACGACGTTGCTGAAGGTCGGTTTGGCTAGCGCGCTTGAGGAGGAGGCCCTGGGAAAGGGCGAGGGGAGCGGGGAGGAGCCCAGGGGAAGAGGGGTACCAGGGAAAGGGAACGACAGAGACGACGATTACAAAGAATGACGGAGATGACGGCTCGAACGGAAAAGCCCCTCACACACGCCTACAGCGGCGTTCCCCAGGTATTTGGTTCATTGGTTCTTTGGTCTTGCTTATTGGCTGCCTTCCCCAGGTTCCTTGGTCTTGGTTCCTTCGTTCGTTGGTTTCGGTTTCTTGGTTCCTTGGTTCTTGGTTCCTTGGTCTTGGTTCCTTGATGCCTTGGTCAGAGTTCCTTGCTGCCCTTCTCGGGTTCCTTGGTTTCTTGGTTCCTGGGTCGTGTATCCTTGGGCTTGGTTCTTTGGTTCCTTTGTTTTCTGGACTTGGTTCATTGGTTCGTTGGTCTTGGGCTGTTGGTTTCTTGTTCTTCGTCCCGTGGTTCCTTGGTGTTGGTTCGTTGTTCGGTGTTATTGTCATCGGGTTCCTTGATTATTTGGGCGTGGTCTCTTGGTTTCTTGGTGTTGGTTCCTTTGTTCCTTGGTCTTGATTCCTTAGTTCCTTGGTCTTGGTGTATTGATATCTTGGTCTTAATTGCTTCGCTCCTTGATCTAGTTCTCCTGATCCCTTCGCTCTTTTGACTTGGTCTCTGAGTTTCTTGGTATTGATTCCGTGTTTGTTTGGCCCTGCTATTTGTTGCCACGCATTGCAACGCAATGCCACGCGATTCCAAGCAATGCCACGCAATTCCAAGCAATGGGAAACAATATGCCAAGCAGTGCGCCCATGCAGTCGGAAGTTTTCCCCTAAGGGTTCATTTCGCCGTTTGCGGGTTTCCAGGCAGTTCCTGGGCCCCGTGTTCGTCAAAGGACGACTCGGGTTGACAAGTTGGTCTTGGGGAAACGCCCAGGGTCCAGGGCCCGTTTCCACCAGTACCCCATTGCCTTCACGTGAAAGGGGGGAGTGAATCTTCCTTTACTTCTCCTGCCCCTCTCCGCTCTTCCTGTCCCTCTCCTGCCCCTCTTCCCGCCCCTCGCCCCTGCTCCCCTGTTACCTGCTCCCCCCCTCCCTAGCCAGCCGATCGCCCCCCCCTCCCCGGACCAGCGCCCCCCAGGGCCACAGAACGCGACTTGCTGGCGGCCGCTCCCCGCCCCACCCGCCCGTGGTCGTCGTCGCCGTCGCCGCCGTCGTCGCCCTCGTCGTCGCCGTCGCTCGTGGTGGTCCTCGTCCCCGTCGTCCGTCGGTCGACGTTTTCGGTGTCGCAGTCGACACCATTGCCGTCGTCGTCGGTCGTCGCCTTCGAGGCGGTCGTCGCCGTCGCATTCGCTTTTCCAGGATTTCGGCGTGAAGGGCGCCCAGGCCTCCAACGCATTGGGACATGTAAGACGGAGGGCGTTCGTCGGTTTCGGTCTCTGGGGCTCTCTCGCCAGGCCTTGTGGCGGACAGAGCAACTCGGGATGATGAACAACGTGTCCTGGGGAAAGGGTCGCGACTTCGGAGACTCCGTATTGAAATGAGAGCAAGGCATCGGATATTGTGGGACAGGTGCCTGAAGGAAAATCGATGGTCGAGTTGTTTTACATATGCCATCCTTTTCTGGACCTCCCCCGGGGTACTCGTCGCCTCGTCGCCACGGCCAGATTCCCTTTTCAGATTATTGACGCTTCGCGTATCCCCACCATCATTTCCGTAGCCCCCCCCTGGCTCTGCTCCCCTCGGGGCAATCTCCCACCGCTCAAGGGGGCGCCCGGACGCTGCCCGGCGGGCCCGCGGCCCTGGGCTCCCTCGGGCCCCCCAGCGCGCGCCCGCCATACCAGCAGCGGCGCGGTCAGGCGGCGCGGGCCTCAGCTGGATCCCCCTGCAGCGCATGGAGGGCGGGGAGATGGACTGTTCGGAACATTCTGAGGGAGGTGGGGACCACACAGTGCGTGGCACGGGGGCCCAGGCACTGGCCATGGTCGAACCCCTCTCGGACCCGATTCAGATACAGCCTCCCCACGGGCAGCAATCCCCCACCATCAGCGGGCCAGACCAGGACCTTACCCCAGTTGAGTCCAGGACGCCCCCTGCAGCGCCGCATAGTGTCCCGGATCCAGCTCAGGCCCGCTGCTCATCGGGATGCGGTGACAATCCAGACGGGGACGAGACGAGGCGACAGACCCCCAGAGAGGCCCTCAACTCACCCCAAACGAGATTCACGGAGGGAAGAGAGGGCAGCGGACCAGATGAGAACGACAGAGATGGGGAGATGAACGTTCAGGATCGGGGGGATGGGGGTCCGACTCCCGCCATCCCCACTCCAGACCCCATTTCGATCCCCGCCCCTCACGCGCCGCCCTCCTCCCCCCGTCTCGGGGCCGCCCAGGATCCCTTGCCGCCGTCAGTAGAGACCATCCAACTCTCCGAGGCGGGCAACGGCGATCCAGAGGGGGGCCCGAGGAGCAGCAGATGTGGTGGACCCCAGGGCGGGCCAAGAGGAGGCACAGCAGCACGCAGCTGGGGAGGACCGTATCCACCCCCCCCGAAGAGCAGATGCCCGCATCCCCTCAGACAGTGGCTAGCCACACCCCCGAGGTACCAGCTGGCAGCGGAGATGGAGACACCCACCAACAAATAGATATCTCAGCGGCGATTAGCTGCGACCCCCGCGCGAATGAAAGAGAGAACTCAGCGGCGATTAGCTGCGACCCCCGAGATAATGATAGAGCAGATTCAGCGGCGATTAGCTGCGACCCCCCAGCAACCACAATTCAGGACCAGTGCGAGCGACCAACTGGGGTGGACACTTCGAGGGGCCTCGAGGCCTACGAGAGCGCCCGCCTCAGGACTGCAGTAGAGCAGGGCTGCGACAGCACGGGGGAGGCGCTCTCCGCTTCCCCCCCCTCCCAGCGCGCCCGTTTCCCGACTCACTTCCGTTCCCCCCTCCCTTGGCAGGTGCGGGCGCGGCGCGCGCTCCCAGCGAGGACTGCGCCACCCCCCCCGCGCTTCCCTTCCACCCGATCGGGCCTGAAGGCCCACGGCAGCCCCAGGGGGGGATCGGATGGGAGATGCCTCTCGAGGCAGGCGAGCCCAGTGGAAGCACCCCCCGACGCATGCAGCGCCAGGTGGGGCCCCAGCGCGATCGATGCCAGATCGGATCCTGCTGCCCGAGAATGCCCGATCGCCCCGCCTCCTAGTCTCCCCTCTCCACCACCGTCAGGCCCGAGCCAACTCGGACAGGGTGGCCATAGCCGCCGCCCGTCTCAGCACGACCCAGGGCACTGGCAGCACTACCCAGACAGTTCAGAAGGGGAACGCTCGCCCGATAGGCAGGGGCTCCCCAGCTACCGCTACGACCCCGGCTTCGATGGGCTCCACTGCCACCCGCGGCGATGCGGAAGTCGAGATGCAGACGTGCCCTTCCTGGCCCCAAGGGTCGTAGACCCGAGGGGCGCCAAACGAGGAGGCACTCTCGCGGCCCTCGTGGCCCACCACGAACCTCGGGCGGGTCCATGGAGGGACCTGCCCAGGAGAGCGGTCCGCGACCAAACGATGCGTCAGGGCCTCGAGAACTTGATGAGCTTCTGCTGGAACCGCCGCCCCCCGGGCACCCTGGTGCCCTTCCAGAGCCCCGTCCAACGGGGGGCGTGCCCAATCAATTCAGGGCTTCGCCTGATCGGAGGGCTCAGCTCGAGCAGGGGCCCTCCCGTCACTACTGCGCCGTCGGCCCAGCGCTGGCCCAGCTCGACCTTTCCTGGCTCGCATGGCCCCTAACGGGCTCCGATCACGAGGCGAGGCTGGGAGGTGTCGGACCAGGCCCAGTACAGGTGCTGGCCTTCCGTCGCGCGAGCTTGACCCAGGACCCCGATATCGACATGGGGAGACTGCGACAACCCGAGCGATGCAGAACCACGCGCTGCCCACCTGGAGTACGACGCCCTCCGCTACGCGGCCCTATGCACGGACATCGGGATGAGAGAGCCGTCTGACGACCTCCTACCAGACTCCACGCTCGGACTCTCAAGACGGCGACGCGACGCGGCCCCCGGCTTGAGAGACATGGAAACGGACCTCGGACACAGGTTCAAAATATGCTGTTACCTCATCCACGAGCATCGCCGGAACCGGGTGCATCTCCCAGACCACAGGGAGGTCAGGAATTGGGCGGTGGACAGAGGGCAATGGATCGAGGCGGGCGACGACGTCGCGTCTATAGGGCAGCACGGTACAGGACCCAGCGGCTGGGCAGCCCCTGCCATGCCAGGCGCAGGACCGCGCCCCCCGGGCATTCCAGGAGTCATACTCGAGGGCAACGACGCCTCCGAGGAGCCCTGGCCCTTAAACAACACGTCCCACATGGTAATGTTCGGGGGCTTCTTCCACCCATCCACCAGATGCTGGTGCTGCGGCTGCTGGCTTGCAAGGGGTCCTCAGGGCCCCACGTGCATCGTCTGCCACCGGCTAGCCGCACCATGGTTTCTAGCGGTAGACGGATTCTACTCCGACAGCGGAGGCACCAGGACACCCTTTTGACACTTTGGGCACGCAGCTCTCCTACCAGCTGGCTAGATTAGGAGCACGATATGCTCCGATAACCAACCACATTTGCTCCCCAGACCTCCTACCGGAGACCGCCATCTACACTCCAACCGGGCTAATCTCGGAGCTACTCGCGGCATGGCGCCACATGGCGGACAATCCGAGCGAGCTATGGCATCCGATTCCCGACAGGGGGGACTCAAGCCTAGGGGATGAACCGATGCTCAGAACCACAGTGAGCGCCCTCGCCAGACCATGCAGCGCCCCGCAGGGATGGGCCTTGGAGGCTGCGGCGCAGATTCGCGACCCTATCAGGGGGCCCCCCCCCAGCCGTCCACTGCGCGACTGGGTCCCCGGAAGCCTTGCCCAGCTCCCCGCGCAGCGGTGCCGGCCCGGTTTCTCGACCCTGCAAACACAGGGGCCAACGCGGAAGGCCTAAGGATGATATTCCAATTGAGCTTCAACAATATCACCGCAGAAGATTCCGACTGGCTCCGAGGCGAGATAGGAGGGAGCTACCTCGACCAAGCACTAGGGGCTGTCGAAATCGCCGCCGACGAACAACCTCCCGGGGCGCAGGGCGTGGACGTAGAGGCAACAGAGGTAGCCTGCGCTGCCCTCGTTGCCAACGCCAGGAGGGAAGGGGGACTCATCGCGGATCACATTGCCCCGGACAACCCCTGTGGAGCTGCGATGCGCCTTGCCAGAACGCTCCGAACCGGGTTCCACGGGAGGGGCACCCCCGTCCCCGACAGAGCCAACCAACAAACGAGGATGGACGGAGGTACCGACAATCGAACCATCGAGGAACGCTGGCCGAACCTTGGCGCTCAACTGTCCCCGGAAAGGAGGAGCAGCGCCCACCGCCTTCCGCGGGAAATATTGGACATCCGCGCGCAGGTTGCGAACGACAGCGTACCAAACAATATGACCTGGAGCAGAATCCTGGCCCCGTTCATCTGGGGGTCAGTCACAGGGGGGGGGGGGGAACATCCTGCGCGACGTCTTTGAAGCCGCCGGGATTTCCATCTACATAGTGACACGCGCAGCTCGACGATGGGATGTAGTTTGTATTCCCACCCCGCAGGAAGCACACCACCGCCTCGCTGGGGACACAGCAACCATCTCACACCTAACGGGAAGAGAAGTTGAGGCCCGGTCTCCCCGGAGGTTACATCCACCCAGAGCTCCAAGAGCGCAGCGTGAGCTGGCTTGACCCCTTCGGGTACGTCCAGAAAGGAATACTGACAGGTGACCGGATAGCGGTAGAAAGAGGAGTCCAGGTCTGAATTTCGAGGGCGAGCGCGAGAAACGGCATCAGAAACGGCGGGGGAGCGGGAGGCCGCCGCGCCCCCCTTGAAGCGGATGGCGGGGCACAACGCACCACAACCCCCGGGCACGCGGACATCATACAAATACTTGGCGAAGCTACCGACAACGGAAGCAGGCCCCCCGCCCGGGCAGGCCGCAGGAGCGACCCACTAGACGCCCTCATCCGAGCCCTAGACGCAACGCAGAGAGACGATGAGGCCGCCGGAAGAGCGAGACAGCACTGCATCGACCGCAGCTTCGTCAGCGGTGCAGACGCACAGCTCGTAGCGGAAGGTCTCCCGAGGGGGGC